AAAAAGATAAGCTGGATTCATATACTAGATTATATGGCAGTGTAGACCTAGCTTCCCTCCTCACTTTAGCCAGTTTTCATCCCCATCTCTTCATTTTTCCTTCTGTGTGCATACTATGAAAAATCAATGAATGCTATGTTCTTATATGTTTACAGTAATTGTAATCGTTCTAGTTTAAATTATGTCAATTTGACTTATGTACTATTGCTTTTGGTATTGTTCTAACTGTTACTTGCTAGAAGCCGCTCCGAGCCTCTTCCGGGACAGGGGATGGGATATAAATAAAACGTATTATTATTATCAATGAATGTTTGGATTTGGATCCCATCTCCAAGATAATATCATATATAAAAGTTATTATCATCATTATTATATTTATTTATAGTAAAGGTAAAGGTTTTCCCCTTGACATTAAGTCTAGTAATGTCCCGACTCTGAAGGTGGTGGTGTTCATCTCCATTTCTAAGCTGAAGAGTCAGCGTTGTCTGTAGATGCCTCTAAGGTCATGTGGCCGGCATGACTGCATGGAGAGCCATTATCTTCCTGCTGGCACCTACTGATTTACTCACATTTTCATGTGTTCAAATTGTTAGGTTGGCAGAAGCTGGGGTTAATAGCGGGAGCTCACCCTGCACTCCAGATCTGAATCGCCAACCTTTTGGTCAGCAAGTTCAGCAGCTGAGTGGTTTAACCTGCTGCGCCGCTGGGGCTCCTATTTATTTATATCTCCCCCAAAGGGGACTAAAAGTGGCTTAACATAAAAACATTAGCATCTCGAATTGCATCTCCTCGGACACTGTGGTCAGCAGAGGAGGCCTTACTCTCGGTCCCAACCCCTTCTCAAGTATGACTGGTGTGAACGAGAGAAAGAGCCTTCTCTGTGATCACACCCCACCTTTGGAACTCCCTCTCTTCTCTTCTTTACAAAAGAGATAAAAACCTACTTCTGTTTTAATCACTTTTCCTCGTCTTTAATGAAGGCTCAATCCCATTGGTCACCCCTTCTGAGCTTCCCCACAAACACATACTTCTCCACTTACTTATCTCACCCCAGGGTTTTATCAATCTTATTCTGTGCATTTGGCCTGCCCACCGTGCTTTTATTTTATCTCTTCATCACGTTATTTTGCATCTGTTTATTTCATTTTCTGTTATTTTATGTATTTTATTTTGATGTTATTATTTGAAGTTTGTATTTTAGTTTGTTGTACTGTAACTCTGGGCTTGGCCTCATGAAAGCTGTCCCGAGTCCCTTTTGAGAGGTATAAATAAAGTTTATTATTATTTTACTGACACAAAAACACAGTATGTCACAGCAAACGAGATCTATATACTGGATTTAGTATCACAAAATCACAAGTTGAACACTTCCCAAGCGTCTAGGACTGTGGGGTGTACTATTATTATTATTATTATTATTATTATTATTATTTTTACTGACACAAAAGCACAGTATGTCACAGCAAACGAGATCTATCTGCTGGATTTCGTATCACAAAATCACAAGTCGAACACTTCCCAAGCATTTAGGACTGTGTGATATATTATTATTATTATTATTATTATTTTACTGACACAAAAGCACAGTATGTCACAGCAAAAGAGATCTATATGCTGGATTTCGTATCACAAAATCACAAGTCGAACACTTCCCAAGCATCTAGGACTGTGTGATGCATTTTCGAATGATGCGCGCAGATCCAAATAAGGTGGCCTTTTGCAGTTGACAGATTGTGATTTTGTTGGTGTTTATTGTTTCCAAATGCTGGCTGAGATTTTTTGGCATGGCACCCAGTGTGCCAATGACCACTATTGTTTATTTATGACATTTATATGCTGCCCTTCTCACCTTGAAGGAGACTCAGAGCGGTTTACAAGTAATATGTAAACACAATATATACAGGTTAAACCCCTGTGCCGGCAGGACTGAGGACTGACAGGTTGCAGGTTCGAATCCGGGGAGAGTGCGGATGAGCTCCCTCTATCAGCTCCAGCTCCTCATGTGGGACATGAGAGAAGCCTCCCACAAGGATGGTAAAAGCACCAAAACATCCGGGCGTCCCCTGGGCTATGTCCTGGCAGACGGTCAATTCTCTCACACCAGAAGCAACTTGCAGTTTCCCAAGTCACTTCTGACACGACAAAAAAATTATAACTATAGCACAATATTAATATTATATATTACTATACTAGCTGTCCCCTGCCATGCATTGCTATGGCCCAGTCTGTGTATATGTGTTTTGTGTGTGTATATATTTATTATTACAGCAACCCAATATTAAAAGTAACTGCATTCACTATAGACCTGAGCCAACTTGGGCCCTCCCTCCCTCCAGGTGTTTTGGACTGCTGCTAGACCCAAGTGGTATTCTTAGATGAAGGGCTAGAAGGCAGGATCATCAAGTTTGCAGACTACACCAAATTGGGAGGGATAGCCAATACTCCAGAAGACAGGAGCAGGATTCAAAACGATCTTGACAGATTAGAGAGATGGGCCAAAACTAATAAAATGAAGTTCAACAGGGACAAATGCAAGATACTCCACTTAGGCAGGAAAAACGAAATGCAAAGATACAGAATGGGAGACGATGCCTGGCTCAAGAGCAGAACGTGTGAAAAATATCTTGAGTCCTTGTGGACAGCAAGTTAAACATGAGCCAACAATGTGATGTGGCAGCAAAAAAAGCCAATGGGATTTTTGCCTGCATCAATAGGAGCATAGTGTCTAGATCTAGGGAAGTCATGCTCCCCATACTCTATTCCGCTTTGGTTAGACCACATCTGGAATATTGTGTCCAATTCTGGGCACCACAATTCAATAGAGATATTGACTCTAACCTGGAATGTGTCCAGAGGAGGGCGACTAAAATGATCAAGGGGCTGGAGAACAAGCTCTATGAGGAGCGGCTTAAGGAGTTGGGCATGTTTAGCCTGAAGAAGAGAAGGCTGAGAGGAGACATGATGATAGCCATGTATAAATATGTGAGAGGAAGTCACAGGGAGGAAGGAGCAAGCTTGTTTTCTGCTTCCCGGGAGATTAGGATGCGGAACAATGGCTTCAAACTACAAGAAAGAAGATTCCACCTGAACATGAGGAAGAACTTCCTGAGAGCCGTTCAGCAGTGGAACTCTCTGCCCCGGAGCATGGTGGAGGCTCCTTCTTTGGAAGCTTTTAAAGAGAGGCTGGATGGCCATCTATCAGGGGTGATTTGAATGCAATATTCCTGCTTCTTGGCAGAATGGGGTTGGACTGGATGGCCCATGAGGTCTCTCCAACTCTTTGATTCTATGATTGTATAAAACCATAAATATATGCAAGCATTAAAATCACTTATATTCACATTAAAAGTTGCTTAAAAACCATCTCAGGACACCATTTTGCCTCACTGCACTGCCCCGAAGATCTGGTCCTGCAAATCTCTTGGGAAGACAGGCGGACAAACATCAGCATGCTGGAAGAAGCAAAGACCACCAGCATTGAAGCGATGGTCCTCCGCCATCAACTCTGCTGGACCGGCCACGTTGTCCGGATGCCCGACCACCGTCTCTCAAAGCAGTTGCTCCACTCCAAACTCAAGAACAGAAAACGGAATGTTGGTGGACAGGAAAAGAGATTGAAAGATGGGCTCAAAGCCAACCTTAAAATCTGTGGCATAGACACTGAGAACTGGGAAGCCCTGGTCCTTGAGCGCTCCAGCTGGAGGTCAGCTGTGACCAGCAGTGCTGCAGAATTTGAAGAGGCATGAATGGAGGGTGAAAGAGAGAAACGTGCCAAGAGGAAGGCGCGTCAAGCCAACCCCAACCAGGACCACCTCTCCACCAAAGTCAACATCGACACCAAAATACAACACCGCCTGAGCTCTGCGAGTGCAGCATTTTTCCCAATGAAGCAGAGAGTGTTTGAGGACCAGGATATCCGTAGGGATACCAAGGAGCTTGTTTATAAAGCCATTCCCCTCCCAACCTGCTATATGCCTGAGAAACGTGGACCGTCTACAGACGTCACATACAACTCCTGGAACGATTCCATCAGCGCTGTCTCCGGAAAATCCTGCAAATCTCTTGGGAAGACAGGCGGACAAGCATCAGCGTGCTGGAAGAAGCAAAGACCACCAGCATTGAAGCGATGGTCCTCTGTCATTAACTCCACTGGACTGGCCATGTTGTCCATATGACCAACCACCATCTCCCAAAGCAGCTGCTCTACTCCGAACTCAAGAATGGAAAACGGAATGTTGGTGGGCAGGAAAAGAGATTGAAAGATGGGCTTTTTTTTTTTTTTTTTGTTCGTGTCAGGAGTGACTTGAGAAACTGCTAGTCGCTTCTGGTGTGAGAAGAGAATTGGCCGTCTGCAAGGACGTTGCCCAGGGGACACCCGGATGATTTGATGTTTTTATCATCCTTTTTGGGAGGCTTCTCTCATGTCCCCGCATGAGGAGCTGGAGCTGATTGAGGGAGCTCATCCGCCTATCCCCGGATTCGAACCTGTGACCTGTTGGTCTTCAGTCCTGCCAGCACAGGGGTTTAACATGGGCTCAAAGCCAAACTTAAAAACTCTGGCGTAGACACTGAGAACTGGGAAGGCCTGGCCCTTGAGCGCTCCAGCTGGAGGTCAGCTGTGACTAGCAGTGCTGCAGAATTTGAAGAGGCACGAATGGAGGGTGAAGGAGAGAAACGTGCCAAGAGGAAGGCGCGTCAAGCCAACCCCGACTACCTGGAAACCAATGCCTTCACTGTGGGAGAAGATGCGGGTCAAGAATAGGGCTCCACGGCCACCTAGAAACCCACAAAAATAGTCATCAAGGAAGACCATCTTACTCGTCCAAGGAGGGATCGCCTAAGTAAGTAAGTAATCCCAAAGGACTGCTGCTAGACTCAAGGGGTATTCTCCCTGTTTGATTCAGGTTGCCTTTGACAGGCCCAGCTAACCCAGGCCGAGAGGAAGGTTCCCTCAGGCGGGGAGGGGACCCCTCGGCTTGCCCTGACTTTCCCCTACTCACTGTTGAGCCCGGCCTCGGCTGGCGTCGCTTCCCCTTCCCCCGGAGGCGGGTTGTTGTTGTTGTTGTGAGGCGAGTCCTGAGGAGGGGAGGACATGGCGGCCGACGCGGGACTCTCCTTCCGTCTGGGTTGGCGACAGAGAGGGACAACAACACCAAACAACACGGGGCGTGTGCTGCGCATGCGCCCGCCTTTTTTAAGCCAGCGCGCATGCGCCCGGGAGATCACGCCCCCCCTTTTCCGCCTTTCCTCCCTGACGCTTCTCACGTCCGCGGAGAGGGGGTGTGGCCAGAGGACTTAGCCTTCAGTGCGCAGGCGCAAGAGTGTAGGTGGCTCCTTGCAGAGAAGGCAAGCTATCAAGGCACCCAAATAAACCCACGCCCTGACTGCTCTCCTGAAGTCTAATATTATAATGCAATGCAATATAGTACTAATAACAATATAATTATATATTTGTATCACATGTAATACTACTCATAGAATTAAAATATAATGGTATAGTACAATATAATAATCAATATTACTTATATAGCACTGCCTGAACATCAAGCAAAAAGTGGGTGCTAGAAACAATATCATACGAAAGCTGACTGGCACAACCTGGGGATCACAACCAGACACAGTGAAGACATCTGCCCTTGCGCTGTTCTACTCTGCTGCTGAGTATGCATGCCCAGTGTGGAACACATCTCACCACACTAAAACAGTGGATGTGGCTCTTAATGAGACATGCCGCATTATCACGGGGTGTCTGCGCCCTACACCACTGGAGAAATTACACTGCTTAGCCGGTATTGCACCACCTGACATCCGCCGGGAAGTAGCAGCCAATAGTGAAAGGACCAAGGCAGACATCTCCAGCTCATCCCCTGTTTGGGTATCAGCCAGCACGTCAACGACTTAAATCTAGACATAGTTCTAAGATCTACAGAGACACTCGCTGGAACACCTCAGCAAGCGAGAGTCCAAAAGTGGCAGGCTCAAACCCAGAACCTCAACCAATGGCTGACCAAATGAGAGACTCCCCCCTGGGCACACAGAGGACTGGGCGACTTGGAAGGCACTGAACAGACTGCGCTCTGGCACCACGAGATGCAGAGCCAACCTTCAGAAATGGGGCTACAAAGTGGAATTCACGACATGCGAGTGTGGAGAGGAGCAAACCACTGACCACCTGCTGCAATGCACCCTGAGCCCTGCCACATGCACAAGGGAGGACCTTCTTGCAGCAACACCAGAAGCACTCCAAGTGGCCAGATACTGGTCAAAGGACATTTAACCAACTACCAAACTCACAAGTTTTGTATTTTGTCTGTTTGTTTGCTTTGTTCTGTTAGAAATGTAATATAATGGACTGGTTGCTCTGACACGACAAATAAATAAATAGTACAGATATACTGCAGATGGAGTAGCTATTGGGAGCCCTCTCAGCCCGGTCATAGCTAACTTCTACATGGAACACTTTGAAGAACAAGCCCTGGAAACAGCAACCAAAAAGCCCACGATATGGTTCAGATATGTGGATGACACCTTCACCATTTGGAGCCATGGAGAAGAAGAACTCAACAAGTTCCTGGACCATCTTAACAGCATCCACCCAAAAATCCAGTTCACCATGGAAAAAGAAAATGAAGGAAGACTGCCTTTTCTAGATGTCCTAGTCATCTGCAAACCAGATCAACAATTGGGTCACACCGTCTACAGAAAACCCCCACACACAGATAGATATATCTACATAAAAACTCCAACCATCACCCAAGTCAAAAAAGAAGCACCATTAAAGCCTTGGCAGACCGTGCAAAAAGAATCTGCGAAGCCCACCTCCTCCAAGATGAACTGAACCACCTCAACTGGGCTCTCCAGGCCAATGGAGACTCCACCTCAGACATCAGAAGAGCTGCAAGACCAAGAACAAGCCACGAGAGTCAAGATGAAGATCCACCCAGAGGAAAAGTGTTCCTGCCATACATCAAGGGAACCACTGATTGCAGAGGGAAGCTGATGAGGAAACACAACATACAAACTATCTACAGACCCACCAAGAAAATCCAACAAATGCTACGTTCAGCAAAGGACAAGAGGGATCCTCTCACCTCTGCAGGAGTCTACCGTATACCATGCAGCTGTGGACAAGTCTACATAGGAACCACCAAACGCAGCATTGCCCAAACACGAAGCAGGCAGCAACTGTAATGGCTATTCAACCAGAGAAGTCAGCCATAGCAGAGCACCTGATGAACCAACCTGGACACAGCATATTATTTGAGAACACAGAAATGCTGGACCACTCCAACAACCACCATGTCAGACTACACAGAGAAGCCACTGAAATCCAAAAGCATGTGGACAATTTCAACAGAAAGGAGGAGACCATGAAAATGAACAAAATCTGGCTACCAGTATTAAAAAACTCTAAAATTACAACAGCAAAACAGCAGAGAGGAAACAACCAGGCACATCTTAACACCTCTCAGCAAGAGATTTTCCCAGGCTCAGGCAGGCCTTCAAATGCTAATGAAGGTGGTCAGTTGAAACATTCACACCTAGCTCCAGCAGAGAAGAGCTCTTTGCCCCACCCCAGCCATTCCACAGATATATAAACCCATATTCCTATTTCCAACAGACCTCACTACCTCTGAGGATGCTTGCCATAGATGCAGGCGAAACGTCAGGAGAAATGCCTCTAGAACATGGCCCTATAGCCCAAAAAAACCTACAAGAACCTAGTGATTCCAGCCATGAACGCCTTCGACAATACACCCAAATAAACCCACGCCCTGACTGCTCTCCTGAAGTCTAATATTATAATGTAATGCAGTATAATACTAATAACAAGGAAATCAGAAGACGCTTACTTCTTGGGAGGAGAGCAATGTCCAGTCTCGATAAAATAGTGAAGAGTAGAGACATCAGACTGGCAACAAAGATCCGCCTAGTCAAAGCCATGGTATTCCCTGTAGTAACCTACGTATGTGAGAGCTGGACCTTAGGGAAGGCTGAGCGAAGGAAGATCGATGCTTTTGAGCTGTGGTGTTGGAGGAAAGTGTTGAGAGTGCCTTGGACTGCGAGAAGATCCAACCAGTCCATCCTCCAGGAAATAAAGCCCGACTGCTCACTGGAGGGAAAGATACTAGAGACAAAGTTGAAGTACTTTGGCGACATCATGAGGAGACAGGAAAGCCTAGAGAAGACAATTATGCTGGGGAAAGTGGAAGCAAAAGGAAGAGGGGCCGACCAAGGGCAAGATGGATGGATGGCATCCTTGAAGTGACTGGACTGACCTTGAGGGAGCTGGGGGTGGTAACGGCCGACAGGGAGCTCTGGCGTGGGCTGGTCCATGAGGTCACGAAGAGTCGGAGACGACTGAACGAATGAACAACAACAACACTAATAACAATATAATTATATATTTATATGTCATGTAATATTACTCATAACATTACAATATAATGGTACAATATAATAATCAATATTACTTATATAGTAATATTTAATTAGATGTTTATATTAATATTTAAATAGATATATATAGTAACATTTAATACTGATATTGTATTATGCTAATATATTGTATGTATGTATATATATATATCTTGTAATGTAATGCAATATAATTATATATTTATATTACATGTAATATTACTCATAATATTTAATGCTGATATTGTACTATGCTAATAATATATTGTATTTATACTAATAACAATAAAGGTAAAGGTAAAGGTTGTCCCCTGACATTAAGTCCAGTCATATCTGACTCTGGGGTGTGGTGCTCATCTCCATTTCTAAGCCAAAGAGCCGGCGTTGTCCATAGACACCTCCAAGGTCAAGTGGCCGGCATGACTGCATGGAGCGCCGTTACCTTCCCGCCAGAGCGGTACCTATTGATCTACTCACATCTGCAAGTTTTCGAACTGCTAGGTTCGAAAACAATATAATTATATACAATATAATTACTAATAACAATGTAATTATATATTATATTACATGTAATATTACCCATAATATTACAATATAATGGTATAGTACAATATAATAATCAGTATATTTATATAGTAATAGTAATACTGATATTGTACTATGCTAGTAATATATTGTATTTATACTAATAACAATATAATTACATATTTATATTACATGTAATATTACTCTTTTTTTTATCATGTCAGGAGCGACTTGAGAAACTGCAAGTCTCTTCTGGTGTGAGAGAATCGGACGTCTGCAAGGACGTTGCTCAGGGGACGCCCGGATAATTTTGATGTTTTTATCATCCTTGTAGGAGGCTTCTCTCATGTCCCTGCATGAGGAGCTGGAGCTGATAGAGGGAGCTCATCCGCCTCTCCCCAGATTCGAACCTGCAACCTGTCGGTCTTCAGTCTTGCCGGCACAGGGGTTTAACCCACTGCGCCACCGGGGGCTCAAAATATTACTCATAATATTACAATATAATGGTATAGTACAATATAATATAATATTATTTATATAGTAATAGTAATACTGATATTGTACTATGCTAATAATATATTGTATTTATACTAGTAACAATATAATTATATATTATATTACATGTAATATTACTCATAATAGTACAATATAATGTATAGTACAATATAATAAATATAATATTATTAATATAGTAATATTTAATACAGTAGAGAATGGCCCCAGTGTGAGGTAGGCCTCAGTGTTAGTTGTAAAGTTGACCCAGGCCTGCTTTACAGTCTGAATAATAATAATAATAATAATAATAATAATAATAATAATAATAATAATAATAAATATAATAATAATTTGTGCTGGTATTGAACATTTGCTCCTTGATAAACTAATCCAAGCAAAACTTCTCTGTCGTTTCAAAAAAGGCGATCAACAAGTTGTTCCGGTCTTTCCTGAAAAGTCGTAATGACAGACCAAGGAAACGGTTACAGGTGTTTCTCAGGGAGACAACACCCTCTTATCCATTCTTGGAAGGAGTGCCTGTCATCCCCGAAGATACCCCTCCCATGCTCAGAGTTCAATCTCAGTCATTTATTTATTTCATTTCTACCCCGCCCTTCTCCCCAAAAAGGGGACTCAGGGCGGCCACGTTTCCCTGTCATTTTAAACACATCATTGCAAGGTTAGCCACGCTAAAACCGTAACTTTAAACAATTCCTTCCAGAAGGCAAAAATACAACAACAAACCCAAACTAAACTAAAGCAAAACTGGTCTATCATCATCTAACAAGACTTCAGATACCCACATAAGTATAGAGGTTTTAGAATATTTAAAGGAGAAATGATGACCCTCAGCTTAAAACCAAATGCACAGAACTTTTAAAATGTAATAATAATAAACTGCTTAAAGTTCAAAAGACAAAGAGTGAATACTAGGCTTGGGCAATCCATGGTTCTAAAGTTCTTACAAAACTAAAGTTCTGGTGGTGAAAATTTCAGAACTCTAACAAAACTCTCAAAATTTCATAATAAATGGCAGTTCCTAATTGGTTCTGTCATTAAAATCACCAATAATGAAATAATAATTAAATTTTGAGAGTTTTGTTACCGAGTTCTGAAATTTTCACCACCAGAACTTTAGTTTTGTAAGTACTTTAGAACCATTTAGAACCATGGATTGCCCAAGCCTTGTGAATACCATACAATACAATGCAGACCAGAAGAGAAAAGTGGCAAATGAGAGCTCTCCGTGGATAGCTCCATGGATAGTTCCCAACATCCTTAGGCATTTACAGTAACAGGAGTACAAGAAGGCTCTCTATGGACAGTTCCTGGGGAAAAAATTGAGAGCCAAATTGACAAGGAAAAAACATGGCTGTGGCTCACAAATGGAACTTCGAAAAAAGAGATGGAGCCCGAAAACAAGCCATTACAACCAATGCCATCAAAGCCAGAATTAAAAAGTCAACAGATTCCAAATGTAGACTCTGCAAGGAAGCAGATGGAATGATGGATCACATCCTCAGCTGCTGCAAGAAGATCTCGCAGACAGACAAGAAGCAGAGGCACAACACCGTTGCTCAGATGACCCACTGGAACTTGTGCCACAACTACCATCTGCCTGTGTCAAAGAACTGGTGGGATTGCAAGCCTGAAAATGAACACGTCAAACTACTCTGGGACTTCTGGATTCAGAGTGAAGGAGTTTTGGAGCACAATACTCTATAATTCTATCTCACAATTGGGGGAGGGGGGGACCAAGTATGGATTGTCGATGTTGGAATCCCAGGTGAAAGCAGAATTGACAAGAAACAACTAGAAAAGCTTACATGACATGAGAATTTAAAGACAGAACTGCAAAGACTGTGGCACAAGCCAGTCAAGGTGGTCCCAGTGGTAATTGCCACACAAAGTGCATTGCCTAAAGATCTTGGCCTACACTTAAAAAACAATTGGCGCTGACAAAATTACCATCTGTCAGCTGCAAAAGGCCACCCTACTCTGATGCACACATTATTCACTGATACAATGCACAGTACTACCACTTCATCATACTAGAGAATGAATCCACTTTAAATCCGGTTTCTGCCTCCTGCAGAATTCTGGGGTTTGTAGTTTAGTAAGGCTGTTAAAGGCTCCTCCCTAAACTACAAACCCCAGAATTCTGTAGGAGGAAGAAACCGGATTTAAAGTGGATTCATTCTCTAGTTTGATTAGGTCGCTAGACACTTCAGAAGTGTCCAACGTGTGATCAAAGCCAGCATGGTGATCTTGTTAATAATTGAATTGAGAAGTCGACAACAGATCCCAAATGTAGACTCTGCAAGGAAGCAGATGAAACAATAGATCACATCCTCAGCTGCAGCAATAAGATCGTGCAGACAGACTACAAGCAGAGGCATAACACCGTTGCTCAGATGATTCATTGGAACTTGTGCCACAAATACCATCTGCCTGCGACAAAGAACTGGTGGGATCACAAGCTGAAAAAGTGAACACGTCAAACTCCTCTGGGATTTCTGGATTCAGACGGAGTTTTGGAGAATAATACTCCTGACTTCACAATCATGTTAAAAAAGTATGGATTTTTGATGTTGCAATCTCAGGTGACAGTAGGATTGCAGAGAAACAACTGGAAAAGCTGACACAATATGAGGATTTAAAAATCGAACTGCAGACTCTGGCACAAATCAGTAAAGGTGATCCCAGTGGTGATCGGCACAGTGTGCAGTGCCTAAAGACCTTGGCCTGCACTTAAACACAATGGGCGCTGACAAAATTACCATCTGGCAGCTGCAGAAGGCCACCTTACTGGGATCTGCACACATTATTCGCCAATACTTCACACAGTCCTAGACACTTGGGAAGTGTCCGACGTGTGATCCAATAGAACAGCCAGCAGTGTGTTTGCTGTGGACTCATCTTGTTGTGATAATAATAATAATAATAATAATAATAATAATAATAATAATATAATTTATTTATAGCCCACCCTATCTCCCCAAGGGACCCAGGGCAGTTTCCAACAAAAGTAACCACATGGCAAACATTCAATCCACTTCAGAATTTCAAACCACGTTGTCTGTGTGAAGTTTGGAAGGTATACATGCATAGAAAACTATATTGTAGGAAGGTGGGATATTCTGCATAAGCATTGGGTTTATGCAGCACTGGGCATGTTTAGCCTGAAGAAGAGAAGGCTGAGAGGAGATATGATAGCCATGTATAAATATGTGAGAGGAAGCTACAGGGAGGAGGGAGCAAGCTTGTTTTCTGCTTCCTTGGAGACTATGACGTGGAACAATGGCTTCAAACTACAAGAAAGGAGGTTCCATCTGAACATGGGGAAGAACGTCCTGACTGTGAGAGCCGTTCAGCAGTGGAACTCTCTGCCCCGGAGTGTGGTGGAGGCTCCTTCTTTGGAAGCTTTTAAACAGAGGCTGGATGGCCATCTGTCGGGGGTGATTTGAATGCAATATTCGTGCTTCTTGGTAGGGGGTTGGACTGGATGGCCCACGAGGTCTCTTCCAACTCTTTGATTCTATAATTCTATGACTCCATATTTCTTAACCGGTAGACAACAGCCACTACATTTACTTGTGAAAGTGAAGCATTTTCTGATCACCACAACTTTTCAAGTTTATCTTTAATGGAAAGAGTTTCAAAAAGCCAAATAAAAAAAGGAACACTCATAAGGTAAAACTACATTTCCATTTAAGTAACGGATAGCAACAAAAATACACAAAATATAGGGGTAACTCAAGAATGCAGTGTCATTTTTCAATCACTTTATATTAAGTTTTATAAGACATCCTGTTTGGGTTGTTGTAGGTTTTTCCGGGCTATATGGCCATGTTCTGGAGGCAATTTTTCTCCTGACGTTTTGCCTGCATCTATGGCAAGCATCCTCAGAGGTAGTGAGGCAAAACGTCAGGAGAAAAATTGCCTCCAGAACATGGCCATATAGCCCGGAAAAACCTACAACAACCCCGTGATTCCGGCCATGAAAGCCTTCAACAAGACATCCTGTTTGTTTTTAAAAAATGAATTTTAATGACTTTTTTATTAAAAAAAAAAGAAAAACACAGTTGTGAGCCTGAATTCTAACAAGGCATTCAAAATTAGGACAAAGGAGTTTACATAGGTAAAAGGTGAGTCCCATAAAACCGTAGTTGTGTTCTACAAAATTCATCCTGCCCGTATTGAGATGGAAATCTGTTAGCAAGAGAAAAAGGCAGGAGTAGGGAAGGTTTCTTGATACAATATCAAAGAATCGTCGTTTATTATTATAGCAGAACCCGGAAGCTTTTTAGTTGGAAACTATCGATAAATACTAAATTGACATTTGAACATTTTCGTAAAGGATTATTATTATTATTATTATTACTATTTTTTAAAGCCTCCTTTTCCCTTTCCTCGTGTAAAAGAATACTGGATAAAACCGAATACGAAAACATTGAAAATCTATTATTATTATTATTATTATTATTATTATTACTACTATTTTTAATAGCCTCCTTTTCCCTTTCCTCGTGTAAAAGAATACTGGATAAAACCGAATACGAAAACATTGAAAATCACCATGCAATTACAAGTTTTAACAAATGAAGAAATTCTTAAAAGAGGTAGATTAAAAAGGGAAAAAAATAAAAAAACAAATGCACTATTCTTTGACACTTTTATTCAGTAGATTTTTCCCCCTTGTAGCACCCACCCCGCCCCATTTTTACTGCCAGACATGGCAAGGAGTGATTACAGTCAACAATTCATTAAAACATTTTTTTTGTTCTTTGCAACACAGACCCCTTTGAACACTGACCCATTTTGTGTGCTTTTCGTCTCTTTCTCTCAATACACCACCACCACAGGGCTGGGGAGCAAGGGGATCTTTCAAAAAGGGGGAAAGGAGTCCAGGAGGCACGGGAGGAATGCTACAAGCCACAGCAGGAATGAGCTGTTATTTCATAATAACAAGGGCCACAAATAATACAGTAATGAGGTTACACAGTTAACTCCCACAGCATGACTTGAAGGCTTTCTTCCCCCCGGTGGTAGACGTCATTGTCACAATGGAAGGCATTAAAAAAACCCGGTGGAATCAAATGTCGATCAACAGTCCAATCTCTAGTCCATTAGGCAAGATGGTGCAAGTAGTCATTACGTTAAAAAAAAGGTGCCCTAAACTCACCTAAATGGCTAGCAGACATGGAGCACTCCTCAGCAGAGCCATTGCCCATACAGCTATCTAGAAGAATAGGTTGTCAATATGGCACATTTTTAAACACTGGGCAAAGTGTGCCACCAAAGACATCTCCATCTCTCTTGTGCTCTCTCTCCCTGTTGCTCTCCTGCTCTCAGTTTTCTCCCTTCTATTGTTTACAAGTACAAATGCTAGGTTCAATCTATCTGAACTATGCAGGAAGTGGACTCCTCTGCTAGAAATACTAGCCCTAATTCACTTTGTCTTGAAATATATACAAGTTGTTTGTAGTGGCTACAGCAATGATGTTCTCCTTCGGGTGCCAGGCAGTGTGGAGGATCTTTTTGTTGAAGTCTAAGCTGTCGACGCTGATCTCGTCCTTCTTTCTTTTGCCGCTCGCGCAGACTTTGCGGGGTTTCAAAACGGTGCGTGGTTTATTGTTTTCACGGGAGGCTTCTAAAGTAATATCCCGTTTTGTGTTCCTATCAAACATTCTGAAGAAGTTGTTGTAGGAGCCTGTCATGATGACACTGGAAATGAAGAAGAAGGAAGAAAACAGTCATTCAATTTCTTTCTGTATAGTCAAACTGTTTGCCCTTTTAGAATACTGGCAAGACTCTCAGAAGATTTATTTATTATTTATGTATTTACGACATTTATATGCCACCCTTCTCACCCCGAAAGGGGACTCAGAGCGGCTTACAAGATACACACACACACACACACATATACATATACATACATACACATACATATATACACACACAATATATGTTATTAGCATAGTACAGTATCAGTATTAAATATTACTATATTGTACTAGATCATTATATTGTAATAGTATCTATATAAGTAAAAATGTAATGTTCATTTGTGGGATTAACATAACTTAGAAACCACTGGACGAATTGACACGAAATTTGGACACAATACATCTATCATGCCAACAAGTGACCATCACTCATAAAAACACTGAAAAACACAGCAGAAGGGACTTAAAAAGGGTTTATTTGTTTATTTATTATTTATTTACGACATTTATATGCCACCCTTCTCACCTTGAAAGGAGACTCAGAGCAGCTTACAAGATACACACACATATACATATATATATACATACACACACACACACACACAAACACACAATATATGTTATTAGCATAGTACAATATCAGTATAAAATATTACTATATTGTACTATATCATTATATTGTAATAGTATCTATGTAAGTAAAAATGTAATGTTTGATTGTGGGATTAACATAACTTAGAAACCACTGGACAAATTGACACGAAATTTGGACACAATACACCTAACAGTCCAACGAATGTTCATCACCCCTAAAAATGCAAAAAAATAAATTTAAAAAACCCAACAAAAACCAACAACAAAAAACCAGTAGAATGGACTTAAACCCGCCCAAAATATACCATACATATATGTGTATACACGCACACACACACATACTCATATACAAATGCACACATATATACACACATATAAACACAAATATGCATATAGACAAGCACACACATATACACATATAAACACACAAATATATACACACATATATACACAAACACACATATATACACCGACGCACAAATATATACACACATATAAACACATATATACAGACTGGGCCACAGCAATGCGTGGTAGCGGATGGCTAATCTATATAAATAAAAATGTAATGTTTGTTGGTGGGATTAACAAAACTCAAAAACCACTGGACGAATTGACACCAAATTTGGACACAAGACACCTATCAGGCCAACAAGTGACCATCACTCATAAAAACACTGGCAAACACAGCAAAGGGACTTTAAAAGCCAAAAAACAAAAAAATACATTACAACACATGCACAAAACCACATATATATGCACACACACACATATATACACACACATATACACATAACACATATGTGTATAACACATACATATATACACATAACGTAAACATGCAAAACAAATATACACAGACTGGGCCACAGCAACGCGTGGCAGGGGACGGCTAGTTAGTAATATTAATTCACTTTGTCTTGAATATATACAACTAGTCCTCCACACTTACTGCGGTTAGGGCCCAGCTTTAACATCCTAACCATGACATACAAATTCTTACAAACTCCCTGTGAGAGTACTATTCCCATGACTCATTGACTTCCAGCTATTGTATGACAACTTGTTTCCAGGAAGCAATACTTGTCATTCAGAGAACTGTGTCACCTCCTCTCATTACAATCAAATTATAGTGCAGTCATATTTTTTAAAGTTGCAAGGCCTGACAATTTAGTGCCATCTTTCATAGCACAAATCACCTTTACATCCTGAAGAGATGTTTGGAAATCAACTTTTTGTGGTCTAAAAAATACATAAAGTCTCAGTCCAAATCTACATAGCAAGTGATGTGAATGTCCTCAGAAATGAGCTACCCATCACAATCTTGATGATCAAACACTTTTCGCGCAGGATTAAGGATGCCCCACCTTGGCTCTACCTTAACATTCCTGTGACACGACGATCTATGAAGGTAACACCACTCCTAGATCTCTCAAATCAGACAGACTTTTCCTGAGAAACCAGACTAAATGTGCCAAACATCTACCAGGAAGCAACAGTAGGTTGCCCGTGTGAAGCAATGGCACTGGCACTTGAGATAACTCTTGTTAATATTCCAGAAGGAAGCACCGGTACACCATTCCCAAATGTCTGCTATCCTCAAAACCCTAGGACAGGGGTCCCCAAAATAAGACCCACAAGCCGAATGCAGCTCTCCGAAGTCATTTAGACACACACACACACCCTAATCTCTAGACTTAGAGTTGCCCTAAGTATGAAATGACTTGAAGGCACACAACAACAATCCCAATTAACTTGACTATCTCGTCAGCCAAAAGTAGGCTCACACTTCTCATTGAAATACTGGTAAGTTTATGTTGGTTAAAATTGTTCTTCATTTTAAATATTGTATTGTTATTTCATGGTTTGTTTCATGGTGTCTGCGCCCTACACCACTGGAGAAATTACACTGTTTCGCTGGTATTGCACCACCTGACATCGGCCAGGAAGTAGCAGCCAATAGTGAAAGGGCCAAGGCAGAGACATCTCCAGCTCATCCCTTGTTTGGGTATCAGCCAGCATGTCAACGACTTAAATCAAGAAATAGTTTTCTAAGATCTACAGAGATACTCGCTGGAACACCTTAGCAAGCGAGAGTCCAAAAGTGGCAGGCTCAAACCCAGAACCTCAATCAATGGCTGATACCAAATGAGAGACTCCCCCCTGGGCACACAGAAGACTGGGCAACTTGGAAGGCGCTGAACAGACTGCGCTCTGGCACCACGAGATGCAGAGCCAACCTTAAGAAATGGGGCCACAAAGTGGAATCCACGACATGCAAGTGTGGAGAAGAGAAAACCACTGACCACCTGCTACAATGCAACCTGGGCCCTGCTACATGCACAATGGAGGACCTCCTTGCGGCAACACCAGAGGCACTCCAAGTGGCCAGATACTGGTCAAAGGACATTTAATCAACTACCAAGCTTGCAAACTTTGTGTTTTGTTTATTTGTTTGTTTTGTTAAAAATGTAATACAACTGTCTGGTTGTTCCTGACACGATAAATAAATAAAATAAATGGTTTGGGGTTATTTTGCACTATGAATAAAGTATGCGCAGAGACGGACAGTGAACCAGCCCTCTGCTTAAAAATTTTGAGGACCGGCTGTTAGGAATTGTAAGAGTTGAAATCCAAAACATCTGGAAGGTTGAAGTTTTTCCATGCCTGCTATGGACTGTAATCCAAAGTGCTCTTCCAGCAGTAATCAGCCAATCCCTCTCCAATGCCAGAGATACAGCTTAATGGTGTAACATTAGAAAATGTTGACCATTTCCACTACCTCGGCAGCCACCTCTCCACCAAAGTCAATATCGACACCACCTGAGCTCTGCAATTGCAGCATTTTTCCGAATGAAGCAGAGTTTGAGGACCAGGATATCCGTAGGGACACCAAGGAGCTTGTTTATAAAGCCATTCCCCTCCCAACCTGCTATATGCCTGAGAAACGTGGACTGTCTACACACGTCACATGCAACTCCTGGAACGATTCCATCAGCGCTACCGCTGGAAAATCCTGCAAATCTCTTGGGAAGACAGGCGGACAAACGTCAGTGTGCTGGAAGAAGCAAAGACCACCAGCATTGAAGCGATGGTCCTCCGCTATCAACTCCGCTGGACTGGCCATATTGTCTGGATGCCTGACCACCGTCTCCCAAAGCAGTTACTCTACTCCGAACTCAAGAATGGAAAACGGAATGTTGGTGGACAGGAAAAGAGATTGAAAGATGGGCTCAAAGTGGCATAGACACTGAGAACTGGGAGGCCCTGGCCCTTGAGCGCTCAAGCTGGAGGTCAGCTGTGACCAGCAGTGCTGTAGAATTTGAAGAGGCACGAATGGAGGATGAAAGAGAGAAACGTGCAAAGAGGAAGGCGTGTCAAGCCAACCCTGACCAAGTCCGCCTTCCATCTGGAAACCAATGCCCTCACTGTGGGAGAAGATGCAGGTCAAGAATAGGGCTCCACAGTCACCTACGGACCCACCAGAAAACTGATCCTGGAAGACTATCCTACTCGGCCAATGAGGGATCTCCTAAGTAAGTAAGGACTGTAATCTAGATTATCAAATGCATAACGCAAATAGTAAGTGAAATTCAGGTCCTCTTATACTCACATCACCTATGACTTCTTCTATATAACTTTATCAAGTATTTGTTAGCTCCCAATTTTTTTACTGGAAGGCAGGGTGAAGTCTAGCGGCTACACCAACCACAAAAGAAGTCCTTGCATAGTCAACAGGATAGGCTGCATGCAATAAAGGAGAGAAAAGAGTAGACTTGCCTGTCTGATCCATTCCAGCAGCATTCAAATTTGTCAAAAATGCAGTCATTTTCATAGAGTGAACAAAGTTTACTTCTGAGGTATTCGTGCACCTGGGAGAGGAACACACACCGGTTAGGAAGAAAAGACAACAGTATGAAGCATTGCTGTATGCAAATAGAGAGGTTTTATTAGAAAAAATCAGGTGCCACCATTTATTCTGGGTTTTTAAAAAATAAAAATGTGACTTGGATTGTAAAACCTTCAATAAAGATATTGCCCCGCTGCCCATAAAATGCCAACTGCACTACCTACCACCATATAATAAGAAAATCCTGTTGCTTCAAAATTTGTGTTTATTTATGTAAGTTTAATTAAAATGAGTGAAATACACTGAAGAATATTCAGCTAAGATTTCTTCGGGATAGAAGCCTTCATTGTCTCTTGAGCCTGCAACAAGCGGAGCCACATTAAAGGCTTTCTTTGATCCTCTAGACCAGCTTTCCTGAAGTATGCAATGGGAACTGGGGCTGGAAATCCCAATGCATATTTACATCTTTGAATCTTGGTCAAACAGAAGCCATATGCCCTTGTCTTGCCTTGGCTCATTTTACACAAACAGATGCATAACAGGCTCGAAGCAAGAGTCAAGCTGCATAAAAGATAAAGGTTTCCCCTTGACATTAAGTCCAGTTTTATGTAATTGCGTTATTATTGTTTATTATTTGTGTTTTCGGTTTTATTTTATTTTATGTAATTGTTGTTTTGGGCTTGGCCTCATGTAAGCCACACAGAGTCCCCATCGGGGAGATGGGAGCGGGGTACAAATAAAGTTTATTATTATTATTATTATTATTATTATTATTAGTCGTGTCCGACTCTGGGCGGTGGAACTCATCTCCATTTCTAAGCTAAAGAGCCGGTGTTGTCCATAGACACCTCCATGGTCACGTGGTCAGCATGACTGCATGGAGCGCCATTACCATCCCACCGGAGTGGTTCCTATTTATCTACTCACAGTTGCATGTTTTCAAATTGCTAGGTTGGCAGAAGTTGGGCCTAACAGCAGGAGCTCACCCTGCTCCCTGGACTCGAATTGCCCTTTCGATCAGCAAGTTCAGCAGCTCAGCGGTTTATCCACTGTGCCACCGGGTCATACATAAAACTGGGATAAACTACTTCTACCATGAAACCATTTCACAGGATACCTGGTATGTCTCCACAGGTCTGTTTTCCATATTTAAATCCCAAATTTTCACAGACAGGTAATCTCTAGTCATCATGTATCGGCCACTATGGCTGAATTTCACATCAGAAATGGAGGAGATGATTTCAGAGAAAAACGACCGGTTACTGGGATCCTCTGGTTCTTCGAACACTGTAAGTAGGAGACAACACACAATTCATCGACCAAGAAGAAGGTATTTTTTGCACATAAAAAAACCCCAAGGATTCTGAAAAATCAAAAGGGATATTAAGTGAAATGTAATATATCTGGTTCTTATTTAGACAGGAGACGTACAACAAATACCAGGAGCTGTTAGCTATATTTCAGAGGAAGGAACTAGCAAAACCACCCCTACGATTTGCCGAAGAAAATTCTATGAAATTCATGGAGTCACTGTTATGTTGAAAGTGACTTGAAGGCACATACTCAGTGGGTGTGAAATAGTGAACAGTGCATTATGTACATAGCATCTCTTCACCCAGACAATCTGAATTTTGTGCCGAGAAAATCCTCATTTTGCAACCTATGTAAAAATACGCATTTTTTTTAAAAAGGTGGTACAATCTTTCTTAGTTTGTTCTGTAATTTGGCAATAAAAGTACTAGACAGAAGACTAAAGCTCCATAATAAAGCCTTCTCAACTCATTGTAGTTTCAAGAGGGCTGCCCACTATACTTGCACACTAAATTATGTAAAATGCTTGTCCAAAAATAAATAAAAACAAAAATCCTTAGAAAAGGGTTTTTCACCCAACACCAGCCTTTGCCACTTTTTGACACAATCAAATAAATTTGAAATTTTTATATCTCGATCTTCTCCACCTCCAGAGGGACTCAGACCGGCTCACAGCAAGGATTCAATGCTAATAATACAGACTAAAACATCATACAACAATAAAAAGATTAAAATAAATATAGAATAAATACACAAAGCCAAATCGCCAAGATAAAATCATGTCCAACTCAGTCCGCATATGTGGTCGCTAACTTTGGTCTGTAACCGGTCTCAGTCATTAATTTGGGAATGATTCGTTCCATAGCCAGGATTTCACTAGCCTCCTGAAGGTCAGGAAGGAGGGGACAGATCTGATCTCACTTGGGAGAGAGCTCCATAAGCGGGTGGCCACCACAGAAAAGGTCCTGTCTCTCGTTCCCACCAGACGTGATTGCGAGAGTGGCGGGACCGAGAGCAGGGCCCCACCCGAAGATCTTAACAGTCTTGATGGTTCATACGGGAGAATACGTTCTGACAGGTAAACTGGGCCAGAACCATATAAGGTTTTGTATGTTAAAACTAGTACTTTGAATTGCGCTCGGAAGCTAATTGACAGCCAGTGGAGCTGTGTGCTCCCTGTACCCAACTCCTGTTAGTATCATGGCTGCCGAGCGTTGGACTAATTGCAGCTTCCAGGCAGTCTTCAGAGGCAACCCCATGTAGAGAGCATTGCAGTAGTCTATACAGGATGTAACCAGAGCATGGACCACCATGGCCAAGTCAGACAATCAAAGTGTATATTCTCAAAACATAGAGGTGTCTCTCGTCATCTTCGCTGAGAATTTGTTTTGTCATTCACGGATTTGAAGGAACATTACTTTGGGTGCAGCACAATTAATATGACTGCTACACTTATGTGCTATCCTGATACGCGGACTGACAGTACACAGGTCTAATGAGGTTTTGAGACCAGTGGTTCTCAACCTGTGGGTCCCCAGGTGTTTTGGCCTTCAACTCCCAGAAATCCTAACAGCTGGTAAGCTGGCTGGGATATCTGGGAGTTGAAGGCCAAAACATCTGGGAACTCACAGGTTGAGAACCACTGCTTTAGACCAACACCGTTTAGAACAGTGGTTCTCAACCTGGGGTCCCCAGATGTTTTTGGCCTACAACTCCCAGAAATCCTAACAGCTGGTAAACTAGCTAGGATTTCTGGGAGTTGTAGGCCAAAAACATCTGGGGACCCCAGGTTGAGAACCACTGATTTAGAAGACGGATTTCGAATCATGCACTGTCCTCTTGCTTTGTCCTGATTTGCTTAAGAAAAGGAAAAAATTGGAAAGCAGTACTCACATTTTGAATGCCTATCACAGAGGGCTGACGCTCTCATGTCACAGAGACGGATTGTTCCCTTACTACTGCTGTAGACAAATGTGTTGCAGCTGTTTGGATGGAATTCTGCTGCCGTTATCACCTCTGTCAGTTCTTCCATGTTTGCAGGCTTAATATCTACAATATCTATAGAGATTTGGCGTTAAGGAATTTCCTTTGATGTTTTTTGTCCAAATCAATGTAACCCACGCTTGGGAGCACAATAGTTTTCTGGAAGACACAGTCACTTGGGAAACAGACAGGATAAGGCCAGCTATTTGGTTGCCAAGCCACTTGAGAACTGGACACTTGCCAGCTTAAGTAGTTGGGGCCACTATCTTTACTGAGTGTCATGCAATGGCTCCTCACTCTCTGCTGGGGTTTGGTTTTGCCCATGAACTTTAGATTGTTTACAAAATGAGCTAACAGGAAGTTACTGGGGTTTTATGCTTTTAATGCTTTTTACAGGGTTTTTATAATGTGCATTAATTGTTTTTAATGTTGTTTTAATTTTAATTGTTTTTAATTTTGTTTTAATTTTGTTTAATGTTCATTTTGGCATCGAATAGTGTCAGTGTAAGCTGCCTTGAGCCGCCTTCGGGCTGAGAAAGGCGGCATAGAAATGCAGTAAATTAATTAATTAATTAAATAATAAAATTAATTTTGCTCTTTTCTTTACCTCTACCTGTTCAACAAATCCTTAATTTTTTATTATTATATTCCATTAACATTTTGCTTACTGTGTTCCACACATTTTCAAAGCACAGAGAATCTAGTGGGTTAGAGATGCCGTAAGTTTTTTAAGGATGATAATCATCAAAGTAAAGACCTGGCTGTTTGAACAGGCATTCGACGAAGCAGTGTGATTGATTGACTGACTATCGGAACACGGAATATCGGATAACGAGTTTGGATTCTGATTTCATGGATGAGACCTGATGGATTTGTTATATTGATGTAGTGATGTATTGATATTGATGTTTAATGATTTGTGATGCTATTGCTTTTAATGATTTTGTATTGTGTATACCTAAATTGTTGTAAACCGTTCTGAGTCGCCTAAGGGCTGAGAAGAGCGGTATACAAATAAAGCAAATAAATAAATAAATAAATAGGCTGATTTCTATTCTATAGCACTGCAGGAAGGAGGCAGTTGCGGATGATGAAGCTTAGGTTAGATAGAAGTCTTTTTGCATTGTTATGTTTGGAATGAAGTACCATTTTTATTTATTTTATATGCAGTCTTCTAACAGGTTGGGAGATTTCCAGGACTGTCACCTGCAGTGATTGCTCCATGTAATGTTTAAAGACGCACACATTTGTTTACTACTTTTTCTACATTCATGATCTCTTGTATTACGCTGCAAATACTCTGAGAAGCACTTTAATTACCCGTTGGGTTGCTCTTTACTTTTGATTTAAAACCTTCCAAATAGATACATCTTCTGTTCATGTCCAGCATTTATTTTTTTTAATTTTAACTATTACATTTGGCCCAGCCGTAGGTTTTTTAATTCCTGTGTTTATTGTCTACTTGTGAGTTATATTAATTGTATTGTTTATTTTGTTTATTGCTTGTATTTCATTACTGCATGTCGTTTTTGATGTGTTGTTGGGCTTGGCCTCATCTAAGCCGCACCGAGTCCCTTGGGGAGATGTTGGTGGGGTATAAATATATTATTATCATTATTATTATAGACTGCAAGGTACTTACTACTTTGAACACTTCAGCAGAAAGTCAGAACATAAATGTGGTATTTATTTATTTACGACATTTATATTCCACCCTTCACACCCCAACAGGCATGTAGCCAAAGGGGGGGCTTGAGGGGCTTCAGCCCCCCCCCCCGAAATTCTCATGGTGGTTCGCGAAAAGGCCTTATTGGTGCATTATTTAAACTGTTATGTTTATTCCTATCATGATCTGATCACCATACTCAATATATCCCATATGCATGGGGGTATTGGGGTAACGATACAAAAGGTTTGCTAGGGTAGACACTCAGACTCAGCCGCCCCCCCCCCCCCGAATCAAAATCCTGACTATGGGACTCAGAGCGGCTTACAAGATATATATACATACAATACAATAGTAAAATATCACTATTAAATATTACTATATTGTACTATAACATTATATTGTAATATTAGTAATATCACATGTAATATAAATATATAATTATAATATCATATTAGTAGTAGTATTATAAATATAATTATCTCAAGAAAAACATTCTTCGTATTCTTTGCTCTCACCACTAGTCATATTCTAACTACTTCTGTAATAGGGACTTGTAACTGAACAGCAACATAAGGAATGTATGCAATAGATAGACATATGATTTTTTTCTGTTCAAGTGGAAACATTGGAAGAAAAAGATACTAAAACTTCTGTCTGTAATTTCTAGGTGCCACAAGTTAATCCGCAAGTCATCTGCAGACAGGTACGTTTCGTAATCACTATTGATGGAAATAGAGTTGATATGATATGTGTGGGCATTGGCAAATATCCTTCGTGGACTGGCTTCCACCATGAGATCCATGGGCCTGAATACTGGTACCTGCAAAGTACAGGAGAACAAATCCACATAGCAAGCAAACACGAAGAGCAAACTCTGTTCTCACCAATGAACACTACCAACCTGAGAGACAGGAAATCAATATCTTCCTATATGGGAAGGACAGATGGGGCAAGAAACGACTAAATAAGAAAGTGGCTAGTGCATGTATCCCAATCTATGCTATACTAAATAATACCAGACATGCAGCTAAAACAAGACTATTTTACATCCATCTAACTTAGCTGGCATCATTACATGTTGTGGCATCAAATCCTATCATTCAATTACAGCATAATCACTTACCCGTATTCTACAAAATATGCTCCTCTATGAATTTTTTATATCCTCCATTTTATATCCTTACCTTATTCTATGGTAAGCTTTTGCCGAATGTTACCAAAGAATCACTTTGGAGGACCTATCAACTTCCTAGAAAATAGGGTCCAATAGGGCTCACAGTAAATTCAGGAACACATCATACAGTATATACCTTCAAAGAATTAATTCCTGTTCTCTACCCCCAGTCTCTTGCTTCCAATATTAAGTTCAAGTATTAAGTTCAAATATTAAGATCAGGCCCCTTCTACACTGCCATATATCATATATACTTGAGTATAAGCCGACCCGACTATAAGCCAAGGCACCTAATTTTTGCGACAAAAAACTGGGAAAACATATTGACTGAAGTATAAGCCAAGGGTGGGAAATGCAGTCACTACTGGTAAATTTCAAAATAAAAACAGATACCAATAACATTACATTAATTGAGGCATCAGGAGGTGAAATGTTTTTGAATATTTACATAAAACTGTAATTTGAGATAAGACTGCCCAACTCTGATTAAATCATTATTCTAACCTTCTTCAATGTAAATATACTTGCGTATCCTTCCAACAATAATAGAGTAAACTAATAAATGTAATAATAAGAAGAATAATGAAGTAAAATAATGGAAATAATAATAACAGTAATAATAGAGTAAAATAATAAATGCAATACTAATAAAGTAAAATAATAAATGTAATAATAATAATAGTGTAAAATAACAATAATAATAAGGTAACATACTAGAGTAAAATAATACATGAAATAAAAATAATACTAATAACAGAGTAAAATAATAAATAATCTTGACTCGAGTATAAACCAAAGGGAGCATTTTCAGACTAAAAAAGGGGCTGAAAAACTAGGCTTATACTCGAGTATATACAGTAATTCAGATTATCAAAGCAGGCCATCCACATTATCTGCTTTGAACTGGATTATATGGGTCTATACTGCCATATAGTCCAGTTCAAAGCAGATAGAGTGGATTTTTTATGGCAGTGTAGAAGGAGCCTCAGAAGAGTTCAAAGAGAGATAAACCTTCCTACCAGTTTCCGCCAAACCACATGTAATTTTATACACCTTTATCATGCCATCCTTTCAGACATATGGCAAACCATGATCAGTATAAGACTTGGAACATAAGCTCGCTTTCCAAGTAGCTGGCTAATGCCAAACCCTGGTTCCACTTAGGCTGCAAACCATCTCCAAGTATTCCTTGCCTAAGAAAACTCCAATGAAATTCAGAGTCACCATGCATTGACAGGTGACTTAAAGGCACACACACACAATGCTTGGAGTGACTTGACCAATATAAAAAACATCCTGCTGCACCCTCATTACTGAATTTTTGACAGTCCTACAGCTGGATTCTATGAAGGCAATGTGATCATCAGAAGACTCTACTCACCCGTAATGTTGTGACTGTCGTGGGGTCCCTATACCGGCCATCTTCTTCCTTCAAGTTATAGCCTTCCGGCCTTTTATCTCTTTCACTAATTTTCCAAAGTTTTATTGTTTTGTCTGAAACACATTTGCAAGGCACAATGCAAACAGCTAAGAATATTCCAAACCTCAGCAATAAAACAGGTTATACACAAAAGGGAAGGATTGCTACCTTTGTTTAAACACTCCAGCTGGATAATAGGGCTGGGTGGTTTCATTTCGCAATTTCGTAATTCGTTAAAAATTCGTTATTTTTTTTGTTACGAAGCGATAACGAACCATTCAGGGGCATCTAAAAAACGAAACGAATTTTTCAATTCGTTTCGTAATTGCTTCGTATTCGTTTTGTATTCGTTTCGTTATTATTTCCGCATGTCTGGGGCAAGTTTTATAGCTGTTGTTTGTTTAATAAGTGAAAAAAAATATAAATATCACACCAACAGTCAACAACAGAGGGAGAGGGAAGCTTCAGAAGTTTCCTCTGTCCCATTTGGAGGTTTTTTAGCGTATTGCGCGGTAGCGTCCGCCATTAACGAATCGGTTCGTATTCGTTTCGTATTGTTTCGTAATTTTACGAAATTTCGTAAATATCGAACTTTTTTAAAGAAAAATTTCGGAATTCTTTTAAAAATTGAAACGCAAAAAACCCAAAAAAACGAATCTTGATACTTTATATCAGATAGACTGAGGTGGCATTGTTACTGTTATTGGAGCAGTACCCATATGATGATGGTCCACAGTTCACACTATACTTGTTTTTTCATACATCTGCAGGCTTCGAATACTCTAATTAAAAACAGGGTTTGCTGTGATAATATGTAGCAAAGTGCTTTTTAGTATTTTAGAGCCTGAAAAGTTATGCTTCAGTGACTGCAGGATGTGTTGAACCCTATTCTAATCATCGATGGCACAATATAAACCAGTGGTTCCTAATCTGTGGTCCGTGGACCACCAATAGTCCCCAAGAACTAAAGTATGGTCCATGGCGTCATTGTTATTACATTGTTGCCACGAGAGAAACTGGTCTTGTGAAACCCTTAAAGCAGTGGTTCTCAACCTGGGGTCCTCAGATGTTTTTGGCCTTCAACTCCCAGAAATCCTAACAGCAGGTAAACTGGCTGGGATTTCTGGGAGTTGTAGGCCAAAAACATCTGGGGACCCCACGTTGAGAACCACTGCCTTAAAGGGCCGAGGAAATGAGGATATCGGGAGGCTGGCTACCCACGAAAGGCACGACAACAAGCCTCCTGACTGCTGTTTCTCCTTATCCTCACTCCCCCTGAGTGGAGCCGTTCCATGGGGGTGGCCTTGGTGTCTTTTAGGCCTGTTTTTGGCGTCATTTGGGGTGCTGCTTCAGAAAATTGTATTGGATAGACCGCATCAGATCTAGATTATTAAATATGGTTTTCTGTGGGCAAGCAGATGACGTCTACTGGATGGCATATGTTCTGTATCAGAAACTAAAGTTGGCATGGTCTATCCAATGCAATTTTCTGAATCAGCACCCCAAATAACCAAACCCAATCTAAAAATGACCAAAAACGGATTTGTAACTCTTTTGGTACTAATCCCTGGTCAAAAAATGGTTGGGAACCACTGATATAAACAGAGGCAAAGAAACCCTCAAAATAGGTCATAGAGTCTATACTCAGATTTCTGAAAAATGTCAGCTATTGCTAGATCCAAACACCATTTCACCAGCACCATTGCTGAGAGTGGTAGAATCACAAACAAGAGAAGAAAAACACAAGGGTAATTCTGGACAAGGCTTTCCTATGGTGGACACCAACGAGATACATCTGGGAAAGCATAAGTGAAGTCTATTTGGCCTTTCACATTTGGGGGTTTGACTTTTGCAGATTTGAGTATTCAGAATATATCCATTCTACCAGCAGTGGAGAACATGTGCTCCTTCCAAAACTGTTGGACTTGAACTTTGAACAGGTTTAGTCATCATGGTCAATGATGGCACCTGCAGTCTAATGGCCTCAGGAAGGTCACACATTCTCCAGCCGTGCTTCATTCTACAGTAACGTGATGCAACAAGGCATTGACATCAACAACAACATAATCTGTACAAACAGACCGAGTATATCAAGCAATCAGTTCTCAATAACGCATTCTTACCATTTGTAGACAATAAAAACTGAGCAGCATTTTTCTGGGGCAACCACTTAATTTTGTTGATCTTTTCTTCGATTTCTAAACTTTTCAAGTAGTCAAACTCTGGTTCATGGCTTTGAAAGGTACTGTAAACATTATATTCTCCTCTGCTGTGAGACTGTATTTTGTTCTGGGCAAAATGAAACGAAGAATATAAAGGTGTGGGGATTTCAGTAAAAGCTGAATATAGTAGTTGCATTTTTATATTTGTTTAAGTTTGGCAATATAGCCAATGTTTCTCCAAAGTATGGCAGGCAAGGTGGCTTGCAGTGATAAAAGCAATAAAACAAATGTCATTAAAACGTAGAGATTTTTAAAAATTCAAAAAAATCATGAAAAATCCACAAAGTTAAGCAGTTCCTTCCACAAAAGCCTACCTTAATTGCTATAAATATATATGAATAAGGCTGGTATGGATCAGATAGTTAAGGATTTTGAGAATCTAGGAGAGTTAAAGTAATCTCATAAAACAGTGATTTCAGAGCGGTGGAACATCTCAGTCTAGCTGAAGAAATCTTAGCTGATAAAATACAGCTCTTTTTGACCAAATTTCCATTCATTAGTTTACAACATAATAGCTATGAAACAGGAAACAATAATTATAGCAACTTCGAACGTTAAGAAAACATAATAAAGTGTAGGCTTCACTGATCTTCTTCCTTTCAAGATGTTCTCCAAAGCTAGCTATCTTGCCACATGCTTACTGATGTTTACACTCTAGGTTTCATCAACATTTCACTTTGAAGACAGAAATCTTTCAAGAGGATGCTGATGTCATATATAAAAAACCCTCACATGTCTCCTCAAAGAAGAGAGAGATGTTCATGGCGATACTCAGCTGCATTCTAGCTTAATGCAATTAACATTCTGTTGGCATGACTCCTGCTCACATTATCAATGTAGGCACCATATTCATTTCCTGCTGTTCAACCTGCTCTGCATTACTTTGCACGGCTAAACTGTCTCTGCATTCCAGCCCAGGCATGACAACAGCTCGGCAGCGAGTGAAATAACATGTCTGCTGAACTCCATGAAGGGTTTGTGATCTAAGAAATGCTCTGATAGAAAGCATCAGGGCTAGATCTGTGCTGAGGGGTGGCACTGGGCTAACACGGAATACAGTGTTTATACAATCCACCCCCCTCTCTCAAAATTGAATCCTTCAACATTACACCCTTCAGGTATAAGATTATAACCCCCCAGGATTCCTGGCCATTAGTCATGTTGGCTGGTGGTGATGGGAGCTGAAATGCAAAACATCTGTAGGCCATTAGCGTGAGGTAGGTAAGTTTACTAGGCATAGACCTCACAAAGGTTTCAAAATATAAGGACAAGGAGATAGCATTTTTAGAACTTATTTAATATGTAGTTTTATGATGTTATTTATTGTATTGTATAGCATTGGATTTTTGCTGTTATTCTGAGTCCCTTCAAGGAGGTAGAGAAGAATGGGATGCAAAAGTTCTAAATAATAAATAAATAATAAATAATAGCATCAAGTGAAACAGCATTTCAAAAGCAAGTGCCTCCACAGTGGAATCCCCTCCCCAATAATAATAATAATAATAATAATAATAATAATAATAATAATAATAATAATAATTTCACACTCCGCTCCATCTCCCCCAGGGGGATTTGGTGTGGCTTACAAGAGGCCACGCCCATCAGTATAATACACACAATATAACACAAAAGCATAACAAAACCAGAAAATAAAATACATAAAATAATAAACCAATATAATAAACGACAGAACAATATAAAATCAACTATTAAAACACAAAAGATTTTCACTGGGCAGGGCCAAATTCAAAGGTAAAATTTTAAAACAGTGGGAGATAGGACAATTTAAATTATCGGGGAGGAGGATTCGGGGATAAGGAAGGATTTAATTGCATGGACCATAAAATAAAGTGCTTCTGAGGCCAATTTGTGCAAAGTTTGCTCAGGGAGTATCTTACATTCAGTCATTGAAGGCACTTTGGAATAACCAGGGAAGCTACCCAAGGAAGCTTATATATTTTCCTCCATCTTCAATTACTCATCAGACCCCACAAACTGTGCATGTTATAAATGTTATTTATTCAAAATGCAAAGTTTCAAATAATACCAATTTTCTGCCTTTTTTCAAATGAGATGTGATAGCGATATAGGGTGTTTGTCAATCATTCTCGGTGAGTAATCCACTGAATTACACTCCTCGCAATGACTGCTCAGCAAACCCCATTTGGACCACGAAATGGCTTCCATGGATTAAAGGTTGGCCAGAGAACAACCCACAAAGATCTGTGTCCTATTTCTTGGGGGAAATGAGGAAGACTTGTTTTTTCAGAGCAGCCACCAGAAGTGACTGAAAGCTGCCTTTGTAAGGCAGGATACTTTGCACAAAATCTTTCTCCTGAAATAACTCTCAGAAATTTAGTTAACAAAGACAAAATCTGTTCCACTAAGGTGCCATATTGAGAATGAGCTACAGCAAATCCTACGTTTGCATCTTGAACTATGATTAGTATTAGCTATAAGTGATTACAGCCACCTCTGTAAACCACAGTTTCCAGCTATGCTGTTTCCACTATCCATAAGTAAAATGAACCATGTTTTGCCCAGGTTCTGATAACATGGCAAGCTGAGGATCGGGATTGTTGGAATCAGAGGATGATGCTCAGCAGGCTAAACTATGGTTTTGGGACACTACAAAGCTTCCTCAAAACTATGCTTTCTCCAAACAATGCAGTGTACATTTTAACATCTGAACAATAGAACAGGTATGCACTGCTAAAAATGTATCTTCATCAAGTTCTACAGTCAATGGAGTTGCCATTCAGTCTAACTGTGCTTGGATTCTACCAATGGATAAAACGAAATCTTTTCATTGGCAATCACCAATTCTTCTGTTTTGTATCTTCAAGTATCTTTGGTTAACACCTGTCAGCAATTTTTGCTGAAACATAAGTATAAAACGGTATATGGTAAGTTAGGACAGATGTTTATATAGATGATTCTCCACTAGGTGGCACTAAAAGATCAAAGTAATTTTTGCGGTAAAGGGTAAAGATGGACATGAAGGCTGTAGGAGAGCAGAGGATTTATTTAATACCTACCCACCTACCTATCTATTCCCCATAGTCACCTACGGATGTGAGAGCTGGACCATAAGGAAGGCTGACCAAAGGAAGATAGATGCTTTTGAACTGTGGTGCTGGAGGAAAGTGCTGAGAGTGCCTTGGAACACGAGAAGATCCAACCAGTCCATACTTCAGGAAATAAAGTCTGACTGCTCATTGGAGGGAAGGATAGTGGAGGCCAAGATGAAGTACTTTGGCCACATCATGAGAAGAAAGGAAAGCTTAGAGAAGAGTATGATGCTGGGGAAAATGGAAGGAAAAAGGAAGAGAAGCCGACCAAGTTCAAGATGGATGGATGGCATCCTAGAAGTGACTGGATTGACCTTGAAGGAGCTGGGGGTGGTGACGACTGACAGGGAGCTCTGGCGTGGACTGGTCCATGAAGTCACGAAGATTCGGAAACGACTGAATGGATGAACAACAACAACCTATCTAAAATGCATGTGTATATCTACTGTGTGTGTTCACACACATACACATAGACCTATGCATTATGTGAGATCGTAATACAGATTCACTTATAAACAAAGATCTCCTCCATGTATGAAGGTGAGGGTAGCAAACCAGGCTGCCCACGATCATCTTCCAAAACTGCACTGAACCATAGCTCTTCTCTCAGCAGAATAAGGAGACAAAATGAAAACTCTCTCTGAAAAAAGAGTTCCAGATATTACATGAAAATCATACTATGTGCAAGATCCCAGAATGGATCCCTTGCGTAACACACTGTCGACTCAATCCATCCATGATACTCTCTAAAATGTAATTCACTTATATAATAATAATAATAATAATAATAATAATAATAATAATACTTTATTTATACCCCGCCACCATCTCCCCAACGGGGACTCGGGGCGGCTTACATGAAGCCAAGCCCAGACAACATATCACAGCAAAATAAAACCAAAAACATAAGCAACAGAAATAAAGATTAGCCTTTCGTAAATGTGAGCTACAGCAAAACTGTAGTCTCAGACCTGTCAGATAAAAGAAATTTTGCTATCAGGAAAGTGTTCTGTACCTAGCAGGGAACTCACTACAAAGAATTCCTCCATCAAAGAGACAAGGGCTGCCCTCAAGGTATTAAGGAAATTTTAGGTTAAAGCCAACCTTTGCAGCCATACCTGGAATGCTAGAAGAAACTAATAACTGCAAATCCTATTTGAGACATTAGATGGAGCAACATTATTAATACATTCAGTGGCAAGTGGACTGATGAATAGAAGGAACTGTATGAAAATATTGAGCATTGTTATGGAAGCCCTTCCTCAAAGTGCTTGCTTACAGGAAAACACTGCTCTAAAATGTCAACTGGAATCAACATTATTATTAGTAGCATCATCGGCTAAAGGCTATTCAGGTTGTTAGCAGATCTACTCCCAAGACACTGAAATTTCACCGGAAACATGTATACCAAGAACCGCAAATGTTTTCTTCTAACACAAACATATTTTTACCAGAATTGAGAAACCATTCATTACAAATAATAGTGTACAATACCAGAGAAAGATATTAATGAAGGATATGTAAAAATGGGTTTGATCGAAGAGCTAGTAACTTTTGCGCCCTTATATGCCATACTGAAACATTAACAACCTCAGATATGCAGATGACACCACTCTGATGGCCGAAAGCGAGGAGGAGCTGAGGAGCCTTCTAATCAAGGTGAAAGAAGAAAGCGCAAAAGCCGGGTTGCAGCTAAACCTCAAAAACACCAAGATTATGGCAACAAGAATGATTGACAACTGGGAAATAGAGGGAGAAAATGTGGAGGCCGTGACAGAGTTTGTATTTCTAGGTGCAAAGATTACTGCAGATGCAGACTGTGGCCAGGAAATCAGAAGACGCTTCCTTCTTGGGAGGAGAGCAATGTCCAGTCTCGATAAAATAGTAAAGAGTAGAGACATCAGACTGGCAAGAAAGATCCATTGCCTAGTCAAAGCCATGGTATTCCCTGTAGTCACCTACGGATGTGAGAGCTGGACCTTAGGGAAGGCTGAGCGAAGGAAGATCGATGCTTTTGAGCTGTGGTGTTGAAGGAAAGTTCTGAGAGTGCCTTGGACTGCGAGAAGATCCAACCAGTCCATCCTCAGGAAATAAAGCCTGACTGCTCATTGGAAGGAAGGACATTAGAGGCAAAGAGGAAGTACTTTGGCCACATCATGAGAAGACAGGAAAGCTTAGAGAAGACAATGATGCTGGGGAAAATGGAAGGAAAAAGGAAGAGGGGCGACCAAGGGCAAGATGGATGGATGGCATCCTTGAAGTGACTGGACTGACCTTGAAGGAGCTGGGGGTGGTGACGGCCGACAGGGAGCTCTGGTGTGGGCTGGTCCATGAGGTCACGAAGAATCGGAGACGACTGAACGAATGAACAACAACAACAACATGCCATACTGAATTTACTGTCTAAACTCTTTGGATTTCTGAAGGACACTCTTATGAGTGCAGATTCAAACATTTCAAAGCTATTTAATGAAAACAGGCCAAACAGTTAGTATTCAACCAATGAGAAACATCTCCTGTGTTCATAAATTTCAGTACTTCCTCACCTTTTGTATATCAATTCTATTTGCTTCAAGAAAAAATATCTATGTAGGGCAAATCTATTACAGGCAGAAATATAGGCTGTTCTAGATATTTAGACATGAATAGAACAAAAGGCAAATGTTATTTTGAAGTCTAAGACTGGGTGGGGCAGGCTGAGAGAAAGCATTACTGTAATATGCTACTCACAATGGCTTGGGTCCAAAGAACCATGAGCTGAAAGTTATTTCTATGTAAATTCTTGAGAAATTGTTAGAAGAAGTCTTTAAGAAGAACATCACGTATGTCTTATATTGGATCAAGCTACTGGTCTAATCCAACTTTATATGAGATCATTCTAGGAGAAGTGGTGCAGAAGGAATGGAAAGGCTGGGGATATCAATCAATTGGTATGCCAGAAGGAGAAACATTTAAACAATTTAGAATTTGGGGGGGGGGGGAGTTAATATATTGGGAAATCACCAAATTTCCCAAACCACTGACCACCTGCTGCAATGCAACCTGAGCCCTGCTACATGCACAAGGGAGGACCTTCTTGCGGCAACACCAGAGGCACTCGAAGTGGTCAAATACTGGTCAAAGGACATTTAATCAACTACCAAGCTTGCAAACTTTGTGTTTTGTCTGTCTGTCTGTTTGTTTGTTTTGTTAAAAATGCAATGCAACTGTCTGGTTGCTCCTGACAAATAAATAAAAAAATAAGTCCCCTGCAGAAGAGCCGGGCCCTCAGAGGAAACCTCAAAGACTGAATGTGAGCACCAGAAGTCCCAAAATTGGCTCTAAGACCTGAGATTCTCCAGTTAAGTGTACAATAGTTTTTTCCCCCACACTCAACTCTCAACTCAGCCATTCTGCATCTACGAATTAATCCACAAAGAGCTTGAAAGCCTTTTTAAAAATCCAAAAAGCAAACACAGATTTTTGTATACACCTGGAAGGCACCTCATTTGAGAAGCATGATTTACATAACTTGGTAGGAACTCATGTCATCAATACAAAGAGACTCTTGCTGTCCAGATGTTATTCCAATGTTACATACATGTTAACAAAATATATAGCATAAAACGATATGACTACCATTTCAATTTTTTGTGACCTGCAAAATTTTAAAACAAGGATGCCATTCCTACTCAAGTCAACATAAAAGATTGGGATGGGGGGATTAATGCCAATCCAAAACTTACCTCCTGCTCTTGTTGAAAGATGACAACTCGACCACCTTTGTCTCCTGTAGCTAGCAATTCTCCAGAATGATTAAATTCTACTGTAGATATTATATCTGCTGTATAAGAAAGAGGAAACAGACATTAATATGGAGGAAAAACGCATATAAAGAGTCTCATCTGCAACAGTAAACTGCTTTCAGGGAATCCTGGAATAGCATACTCGTGCATAGGCAACCCATTAACTGCAGCTTGGTCCCTTCTTTTAACATGGGCAAAAAATCTAGGGATTGTTTGCACAGTTTATCATTCAATCCAGAACCTCTTACCAGTCAAGTTTAGAAAACTTTGTAATGGAAAAGAAATAGGATTGTGTGGATCGAAAATATTCAGCACAAGGTCTCAGTAAATTGAGGCTGATACACCAGAACAAGACCAACATTCAGTCTCATACACCAGTTCTTATGTCTTAGCTCTGTGTATACTCATAAAAGTCCTTTTTAGCTTTATACTTTCAGGTGAAAAGACTGTACTGTTTCTCAGTGCAATGAAGCAGTGAACTATGCTTTGGACTGTGCCATTTCCAGAGTTTGGAAATTGTATTTTTGAAGACTACCCCCATCCCCAATCTCCATTTCCCCCATTACGCCTGACCATGATGGATGGACGATTCTTGGTACTGTGCCCCAAAGAAAGGAACTAGGGCCGAGCTTTAGCACAACTGGTTAATCACCATCAGCAATAGAGCTTACCAATCAAAAGGTTGGCAGTTCGAAGTCAGGGTGAGCACCTGACCTTCAGCCTAGCTAACTGTCCACCTAAGCAGTTCAAAAACAGCTGCGTGCTGTGAGTAGAGAAATTAGGCACCGCTTAAGCGGGGAGGTATTTTAAAGCACCATAAAGGAAATGCCAGAAAATGCCAGCGATCAAAGGAAGAAGGAAGTCTGTGATCAAGGGCTCTTAATCATAGAGGGTGTCGCAAGAGCACCCTCCTGTGGCCAGAATCGAGAACAGCCTCCAGGATGCCAAAGCTGGGGAAAATGGCAACATAATACCTCTGTTGTCTGTACTGTCTGTTTAACGGCACTGAATGTTTGCCGTGTATGAGTTCTGTGATCCACCCTGAGTCCCCTTATTTATTTATTTATTTAGCGAACTTCTACCCTGCCCTTCTCAACCTCCGAGGGGGGACAGGGCAGCTTACAAAAGGCACAATTCGATGTCAACACAAACAATAGGATAAAACATACATAAACAGCAATTATAAAACAATTAAAACAATCAATTATACATCACAATCAATAAAACCAATCTAATGCTCAGCATTCGCCAGCTCAGTATCCGTAAGTTCATTCCACATTGTCAAATCCTATCAATTCTAGTCGTCATTGTCCTTTGTCTATCTGCCAGATTACCCAAAGGCCTGGTCCCATATCCATGTTTTTAGTTTCCTTCTAAAAGAGAAGAGGGATGTCGATGACCTAATTTCCCCGGGGAGTAAATTCCACAGGTGAGGGGCCACCACCACGAAGGTCCTGCTCCTCGTCCCCCACTAATCTCACTTGTGAAAGAGGTGGAGCCAAGAGCTGGGCCTCCCCAGAAGATCTTAAACTCCGAGGCGGGACGTAGAGGGAGATGCGTTCGGACAGATACGCTTCAGGGCAAGAAGGGCGGAATATAAAAACTGTAAATAAATAAATAAAATAAACTTTCCCAGGCTCTTGATTTTAGATTCTTGGAGGAGTCAAACATGTTTTAATGTTTCAGTATGCACAAAGCCACACATAAACTGTGTGTACCTGAGTGATATGGCAAAATGTTGAGCTTTCCTTGTTAAATAAAGTGGCTTGGAATTTCTTTATACTACTGCAGACTCAGCAGCGAAATGGGAGGGTGGTAGTGGAAGAGGTAATCCCATCTGCTTTATCCTTGACTCTTGCAACCCTGATTTCAGTTTGGTCGGAGGTATCCCAGACTCAGCATCAACATGTACTGCTGACAGGTTTCAGGCTGTCACGAACAACTCCTAAAATGTAGGGGTCTGGGAAATAGAAAAGCAGTTCTCACCCCCTACTCAGTGATATATAAATTTTTGTGGGACCCTTGTCTGGGAGAAACTCAGAGAACTGCTTTAAATTCAGAAAATTAGAAATTCTAAAAATAAATCAAATAAAAATAAATAATTTTGGAGGCAGTGAGTGTGTGACACCAAGGGAAGAGGAAGGGAATGAGAAATACCAACAAAAATGCTGAGTATTCCCCAGCAACTTACATTGCATCTCTGATTTTGAGGGCTATAGCAACTTTCTGGAGTTAGCCAGATTACCAGGAACAAAAAGTCAAGATTCTCCTTCTCTCCCTAATCATACTAACTACCCAGACTCAATGGTCTTACAGGACGTTGCAGAGTACTGGAACTGAAGAAGGGAAAGTGAACAGCTTGCCCATAGTTAGGCCTTGCTGGTACTACCAATTTGTGCCTAATGAAGTGATTTGTTATCACTGAGCACTGCAATAAACGAAAAGCTAAAGACACCATGGAATAAAATGGGCCCAGGAGGAAAATGTAAGGATGTCCAATCTATATAAATAAAAATGTAATGTTCTTTTGTGGGATTCACATAACTCAAAAACCAGTGGACGGATTGCCACCAAATTTGGCCACAAGACACCTACTAACCCAAGGACCAGCCATCACTCAAAAATTTGATTTTGTCATTTGGGAGTTATAGTTGCTAGGATTTATAGTTCACCTACAATCAAATAATCCACCAATGATAGAATTGAACCAAAGGTGGCACACAGGACTCCCATGACCAACAGAAAACACTAGAAGGGTTTGGTGGGTATTGACGTTGAGTTTGGAAGTTGTAGTTCACCTACATCCAGAGAGCACTGTGGACTCAAACAATGATGGATCTGGACCAAACTTGGCACGAATACTCAATATGCCCAAATATGAACACAGATGAAGTTTGGGGGAAATAGACCTTGACATTTGGCAGTTGTACTTACTGGGATTTACAATTTACCTACAATCAAAGAGCATTATGAACTCTTCAAACAACAGATTTGGGCCAAACTTCCCACACCCCCATGACCAACAGAATATACTTAAGGCCATCCAGTCCAACTCCCTTCACCAGGGCAAGAAAACGTCATCAAAGCCCTCCTGACAAAGAGCCATCCAGCCATAGATATAGATAGACATACATTATTCACACATAGAGAGATTTATAGTATCATAGATTTGAAAGGAACCCGTAAAGAAGGACAATGATATGTTGCCTGTTCCAGAGCAGGCAAACCAGACAATCTCCATATCCACACTGACAAAGAAACAACAAGAAATTCTGTTTATCCACAACCATCAAAAAAATTACATGTATTAGAAACCAACACTTTCCTATTACTTTATTTTCCAGATCACCAGACTGGGCCACAGCAACACGTGGCAGGGGATGGCTAGTTTAAAAATAAAGTAAAATGCAGAGTCAAATGTTTAGTTAGGAGGAGAGAATCATAGCTCCTGCCTCCTTTTTGCAAAAATAAATGAACAAGTGGGAAAGGGGCTTGGAAACTGGGAGCAGAAGGAGAGGAGTGAGGTGGATGGTTGGGAAAGGGATTTAAGATCAGGATTTTTGTGGTGGAAAAGAGTGAGGGACTTGTACTTTTCACAGGGCATAGAATGATGGGTAGCAGAGGAGTCATGCTAGTTAAGCAGCAGCTACAGCAGTGGTTCTCAACCTGTGAGTTCCCAGATATTTTGACCTTCAACTCCCAGAAATCCTAACAGCTGGTAAACTGGCTGGGATTTCTGGGAGTTGTAGGCCAAAACACCTGGGGACCCACAGGATGAGAACCACTGACCTACCGATTTGTAAATAATCAAATCCGCAAAAGAGAAACCCACAGATTAGGGGCAGGGGGAAAACTATAACATTAAATAATGAAGAGCATAAAAATAGCAACCCTCTTCTGCAGCATTTTTGATGGAAATTACGGAAGCATTTCTGCTGGAGGGAGGACAAGATCAAGAGCTAATTGCTGTTATACAACTTTCTCTTGAAGCTGGAAAAAAATCTAGAATGACAGAAAAAGTAAACTGACAGATTTTTCATTACAGGCAACCCACAAGTTGTGAACAATTTAAGTTCTGTAATTTTGTTCTTCAACTGAATTTGTATGTAAGATGGAAGAGGTATTATTTATTATTTATTTACAGCTTTTATATTCCGCCCTTCTCACCCCGCAGGGGACTCAGGGCAGATTACAGTGTACACATATATGGCAAACATTCAGTGCCAATTTTTGACATACAAACATATACAGACATACACAGAGGCTATTTAACTTTTTTTTCTGGCTGTCGCTTTTATCGTCCATCTGTGACGCTGATGAAGCACTTCCGCATTCCCCGCAGGAATGCTTTGCTAGAGTCTTCTTTATGGCCTCATAAATCAGTTAATTTAGCCTCCCCACACTTTAAGGTGGTACCTTATTTTCCTACTTGACAGATGCAACTGTCTTTCGGGTTGCAAAGGTCGACAACAGGCTACACACAATTGGTTGGAAACCCACTCCAACCCGGGCTGACCTCGAACTCATGACCTTTTTGGTCAGGGTGATCTTAATGCAGCTGACACTCAGCCAGCTGTGACACAATCCCGGTGCATTTTTAACTATACTTCCAACCAAAACTACCTATTTGTTAGCTTTGAATAGCTTTGAATAGCATAGGGAAGGGTTAACACCCCTGTGGGGTTTGTTTTCCTGTCTGTACCCCTGTTGAGAAGATTTGCTCTCACATTCTGTCCCTGTGAGATTTGGATTATGAAACAAGGATTGGTGAGGAAGCTTCAGTGAAGACCCCCCTTTCCCCATGATAACTCCTTCACAAGTGAATTTCCCTTCCTAGAGGTAAACTTCTCTCACTTCCTGTTGTCTCACCCTGTTCTTAACTATAAGGCTATCGTAAGTAAGATGTTTGTAATTCAGAGGCTGCCTGTATTAGACATAAATGACCTTTTGGTCTGATCAAGGAAAGTCTTTCTTCCTATTTCCCACTCAGCTCTATGTTTCTCTTATAGGCTGCACTAAGTTAATTGTTAATGTGTGT